CGAGTCGAGTTCGTTATAGTCACTTGCGCACAAATACCCTTGAGAAAGGTATGAATCCATCTCAGCTATGGGTTGAATAGCAGGACAGACTGGGTTCTTTAGCCTTGGTTGGCAACCAGTCTACCACAGAAAGAAATGGCAACCTACTGCGGGAAAAATCTTCTGCCTCGTCAGTCATGTATCGAAAGATACATGATCGCCCAAGCGTGTATTACGTGAAGCACTTAACTGCATATATCAGATCAATGACAGTTTCAAAGAAAATGACACTATAACTGAAACATGATCTTTATAAAGCCATTACACACTTAGTTAAAAAAAAATAGCTCGAGATTTGTCATAAAAGTATTTATATTATTGTTAACTTCATTATTATTCGTACTATTAGAAATAGGCATCTGTTTATCGCGCAAGATAAATGTAGTGTCAAAATTAAGTACTTTAGTAATGAGACGGGAGTCACTTCTCCAGAGTGCAGGCCTGGTCGATGGTATATGGAAGCCATGGGCTACCCAACAGCATGATCCCCCCACTCTTGGCCGTACCGACAAGATCCAAAGTAATACAAGGCATTACATTTGGGCCGGCTTGGTTGCAGGAGTTGCTGGAAGTTTGTCAATGTTGACAACCAAACACTTTCGGATCTCCACTACGGGTTTTCTGACTGGATTTAATTCCATAGCCTTGTCTGTGTTTGGATAAGTCTGCAAGGCAGCATAGGCTTAAAATAAGGGTTTTCCTTCTCTTAGATGGACCGTCTTCTTGGGCTGAGTAGTTCCATCTACCTGATGAAGCTGGTTATGAGGCGTCAGTAGTTCGTTTTGAAGATAAATTTAGTTGTAATTGGCTATTTGAGACGTATGCCGCGGAAGCATTTTATAGTGAGTTGAACTGTCCTCATTATCATCCCCGGTAACTACAATTTTGGGGACATATATAATGTACATATATAAACTCTATATACATTACTTGTTTTAGAAAACTCCCCAAAATTAACGTTTTTATTTTAAGATAACGTTCGATAAAAAAAAACACTAGAAAGCAAGACAAATTGTAATTGTACACAAATAAGCAAATATCGAAAAATTTGATAACTCTGGAAAAAACAGAAGAAAGAAATATAAATCTGGATTTAAGCCTGAATTATGAAATCATTATTTATAACATACAATAAAAGACCTGTTAGCTTTATTTCAGCACACAGAAGAGACATGCGCATTAAAAAAAAACAAAAAAAAAATATGACCAAAATCTCAAAGTATTATGCTGACCAATAAGCATGTCAACTCTTTTCCTGCCGTAGACGTGTATATACATTTTTACTGAAAGTGTACGAATGGACAAAAAAAAAAAAAAAAAAAACACGCCCAAAACATAACGTCCAAAAACCAGCTACAGACGTGTTTATACGTCGATGTTGGTTCTTTTATGCCATTCTGAGCTTGAAACTGTTCAATTGTCAACTCATACGTTTGGTAGAAGTGTTAGCCACCGCTCGGATACTTCAAGGTGCCTCAGTTTCTTGCTATATTAAAAATAAAAAAAAATCGTCTTGTGGCACTATGAATAAGATATTCACATAGGAGATCGTATGTGATTTTTATATCTGTCTCAATTATTTCCTGTTTTATGACCGGTGATGATTCTGTGAGATATGGTCTTCAAGGCGGTTAACCACTTAACCAAAAGGCAATAAAAGAATTAACAAATAATTGTGTACTTTTGATGTCAAGCGACAACCAACCGGACAGTGATGATATCCGGTTGTTGGTCTATATTAACAGTCATGGTTGGGATTGATGTCGTCAGTTCTAGTCCGCTTTTGGTGGGGAAACACTGTCCCTCGGGTAGTCCCGGTGCCGTCCGTGCGTGTCGCTAGTAACCTGTCGTGGTGCTGGGATGGGCACAGAGTGTAAACATACTACATATCCCTATCCCAATCTTTCCATCGACCGGCTAATCACTACTCTACGTTGCATTTCATTTCTCGATCTCGTCTGCATGCTCACAAGGTAACATGATGAAAGACAAACGCCACGTCGAGAAATAAGAACACGAACCCTGTTTCCTATATTACATGTAGATGTTTTATTCAGGGATTCGCTTGCTCATCCGGGTTGATAGGTGGGTGGTACATTAGCCAACTTCTGCCCCATCGGCTCTTCTCCCTACAGAATCCTCGCTTATCCACAGAGTGGTCCGAAAGTCTCCTCACATCTACATAAAATAATTTTCTATTTCAGATGGCTGACACAAAAATAGTGTTCATACAGACCTTCTAGATGTGTGACAGCGTCAATGAAAGTGAATGAACCGAATCCAGTACATGTGCTTTGTATTACTTGTTCTTCTATTGTTCTCATTACTGTTTTGGTAAGAGGTGACAAGACTTTCGGGCCATCCTACACTCAGACGCAGTGGCTGGCAATACGAATGGACGCTGCGGAAAACGCGCGACGGGACACGTCCGTCTCCTGCAAAGAGCAGACCAGATTTCTCTCTGGTTGTAAGCATAACTCTTAATAAAGATGAATACCCGGATATACCCTATTTCCGATTTTGTTGCTACTTGATCTGCAAAATTCCCTCATTCGCCCCTTTATTTCTCACTACCCTTCGTTTAAAGTAGATGTCGCTTAAAAGACAACTTTTTACCAGACAGAAACACTTGAGCTCGAGATAAACCTACCTCTTCCCATTCTAAATGGGTGTCCACAGTATCACAGAGCTAGTAAGAAGAGGAGTAGAAGGGAAGAGCTGATCTGCTAGTGACACTGTAGGATATGTCTTAAGTGCTCCATACCTATTCCCTCAAACCGTGCAAAGGAATCCCTGGATTAAACAACAAACTATATTGAAAACAGAGCTGGAATCCTCATTTATCGTTGAGGTGTTGGTTTTCGTCTTTGATTTTTTATTTTTTTTATTTTGTTTCCAGCGGGCCTTTCCCAGTTTTTGGTGCCCCCCGACATGAACGAGAAAAGGGATGCAGAGATAGAGTAGTCATTATCGGTGGAAAGATTGGATGGGATTTCGTTGTATGTTTACAGGTTATCAAACTTAATCCAGGAATTTTTTACTGCCTTTTCAAGTCATACTTTAAACATGTAAAAAAAAAAATTGTAGCAATTACGTTTTGATTTGTGATTTAAAAAAAAAAAACATTACATATCAAAACGTAATTGCTAAAAAAAAACAATTATCGACTTTTCTAAATCTGAATCTTCCTTGTGTTTGGATTTTTAAATATCAAAATGGCCAATATAGGCTTTTATAAGTCAGGATCTGTCATATGTTTTAACTTCAAATACAAAATAAAACTTATGGATTCCTTAAAACAGTGTTTTCCTTGTGTTTTGAGGTTAAAATAAAGAAAGAATTTAAAATTATTACATGTCTGGTGCCTTTTTTTTACATACTCACTCCCCGACTGATTTTAGAGCTCAACTCCGCCCCAGCCTGGCTTGAGCAGTAATATCCCAGCAATTTTGCCCACTTCCCTCGATTCGGTCAATGATGTAAGAGTCTATTGAAGCATTAAAGCAGATTGACAATAAACAAGTGGCCGAGGCCTGATAGGAAAAGTTGGACGATTTTGATTAGGGTGGGTTTTTTTTTTACAATATGTAATGCAACCAGAAAAAGACATTGTTCACAAAGAAATTAATTTTGTTATGGTTGGTGTGTGTGTGTGTGTGTGGGTGTGTGTTTATTTTGTTTATTAAATTTATAAAATTTAAAGTGGGGGTCCAGTTTGCTATGTAAATTCACTGTAAATTGACCCCCCCCCCTACTGAAGACAAAACAAAATATGCTCTTACATGATTACTTAGATTAATTTTTTTTTGCATATATTGTTATCAGTTAAAAACACCCCAGATTATGATATCAAAACAAGAAAAAAAAAAAGAAAGAAATCGCGCGATATAAGCATATTTTGTTTTGGCTTCCGTATTGGTATGGAGTATCAATTTACTATGAATTTACAACTGGACCCCGCTTTAACTTTTATGAAATTTAATAAAAAAAAAAGTCGATGATCTATATATAGATAAAATTCTGTGACTACCGTCCATCCATCCATTACATCCTCTAAAATAGCTGTATAATCATATTGACTGATCGAACTCAATTTCGGGGAGAAGTGAAAACAGGTCGTAAGCGTGTACAAAGTACAGTTCCTTTTATTAGGGTGTGTCTTTGTACAATACATTTTCATTCATTTTTTTTTTTTTTTTGAAAAATTAAATTTTATTATTTAATTTGACATAATACTCCTACTATTTTAAAAACAATTTAATAATTAAAATAACAAATATTTATCTATTTTCTCGACAAAAAAAAAATGTTAGCGATAAACTTCAACAATACCAGTGTGAGATTTTCAACACCCGAGCCAACGTGTTGCAAAATAATTCTAGTTAAAAAATCACAAAAAATGGTAATTGTTAAAATTTTTGGAAGTTAAAGTATAACTTGGAAAAACAAAGAAAAGTTCCTTGATGAAATAAAATTTGATAACCTGTGTAAAACATACGACGGAAAAAAAAACTGGACCCACCCCCTCAATCGTTTTATAAAATTATTAAAAACGCATTATTATTTTTTTAAAATTGCTTATTTCTAGTCGCAGTGCTTATTGTACGAATCCATCACGATTTGAATCGACGAAGATATGGGTTTTAACAACAATGAGAATAAGAGCGTGTGAAAAGCGAGTAGTTAAAAGGAGAATCTCAACTATAAGGAAAACTAATGCTAGCAGTAAAAAAGGGATAACTGAAATTTTGGAGACAGTCGGAGAAACCATTGGAGACAAGTGAAGCTGAGAAAAGCAGTGAGTAATTTACCCGACGAGTTTAAAGTGAATGGGTGGGAGAAAAAAGGTACCAGAGAGACAAAAAAAAAAAGCATAGTCGTACAAAACGATGCATTACTTTACCTGCTCAATTAATTTCGGTTCGTTCACTGTTATTTCTGACACGGTTAAAAAATATCAGAACCCCTAAAAAGAGGTTCCTGATATTTAAAAAAAAATTCTTTCTTTACTTTTTCTTTTTCTTTACTATTTTCTTTTCTCTCTTTTTTCTTCTATCTTTTCCTTCTCTCTTTTTTCTTTTATCTTCTCTCTTTTCCTTCTTTCTTCCTCTCTTTTCCTTCTTTCTTCTCTTTCTCTTTCTTTTTCTTCTTTCTCTCTTTCCTCTCTCTTTTCATCTCTCTCTCTTTTCTCTCTCTTTTCATCTCTCTCTCTCTTTCGTCTCTCTTTTTCTTCCCTGTTTTTCTTCTTCCCTCTTTCTCTTTTCTTTTACTTTTCTTTTTCTTTTTTCTCTCTTTTTCTTTCTTTACTTCTCCCTCTTTCTCTTTTCTTTTCCCTCTCTCTTTTTCTTTTCTTCTCGCTCTCCCTCTTTTCTTTCTTTCTTTCTTGCCCTCTCTCTTTTTTCACTCTTTTTTTCTTCTCTCTCTCCTTTTCCCTCTCAGCTTGGATGCACGTTGGTATAACAACGTCTCGTAACTTAAATTCGGAGAATCAGGTTCGTTATATTTGCTTACGCAAAAATAGCTTTGTGAAAGCTATGGGTTAAATAGTGGGACTTGTATCAGTAAATTATTATCTCCAAACTATTCTTACAATCAAAAAATATTTTCTGGTTTTAAATAACCTGTAAAAGGTTGATTGTTTTTTTTACGACTTATCAGATATTTAATCTGTGAACTGACATGCCTTCTTTGGGAAAGATAGTGGTGTGGTTTTCCGTCGTTTTCTGAAACGGTCTTGACTTCAGGGCACTCCTTGTCTTAGACTGGTTGCCACTTACGGCTCGAGAGCTTAGTCTATTCTTCTATTTAACTCCTAGCTGTTGTGGGGGGAAGACGAGTTGGATCATTGCCATTTTTCAAGGGTACGTTTTCTACGGATTATCAACTCTTTGCAGGTTATCTAAAGCTAGAAAATATTTTTACATTGTAAGATTTTTTTCTAAACAATAATGGTTTAATAATAAAAAGTTTACTAATTAATCCATAGATGGGGAGAAGAGGTGGATTCGTACCTTTCCTAAGGGTATTTGCGCGTAAGTGAATGTAATGAACGCAACAGGAATTGAAACTCGCTTCTCCGATTTCTAGTTCAGTCATTATCCATTACACCACCATAGAAGGTTACAGCACCTGGTATTCCCAAACGGTCACCCATCCAAGTCCGATGTTGCTTAACTTCAGTGATCGTACGGGAACCGTTGTTTCAACGTGATGTGGCCGTAAACCACACGAGTGAGAAGGTAAACGCAACAGGCTCAACCAAAATTTAGGTTAGGCTCGCTGTTTCTACATACCACGTTGGTCCAGGGCATGTCATGTCCTTTTGTCTGTTCATTCAATTAAATGGTTCGTTTGTGCCCTGATAGGGCTCTCCTAGTTGAATTTCTATTGGCAATAAACATTCTGAACAAGATCTCTCCTATCTATTGACTACTTCTTGCACTCTGCGTTGGTATTCGTTCGTGTGCTGGCCGCGCGACGACTATGGAGATCTTTGGTTGTTGTTGGTAGGGTCCAAAGGGAAGGGTAAGACATACAGTTTGGTACCAGCTTCGTGTCGTTCACTCGCCAGTAATTTACAATCACCTGATGAGATGCATTGATACGCATCGAAACACGACTGTAACTGTGTAGAGATTTTGACATATTTTCCCAATATCCTAAAATAAATAATATTGCTCTACTTTGTATTGAGCCCTCTTTTTAAATTAAATGTTACGAACGTTGGAATTGTACTCTATTCGTTTTCATCTTACCTGGATATATATATATATATATATATATATATATATATATATATATATAATAATTATATATATATATATATATATATATATATTTATTAAAGACATTTTTTTTATTTATGTTTAACGTTGTTATTTTATAGATACAAGTATTTAAGCAAATGCTCTGTTTAAGATAAACAGTATTAAATAACATTTACCGGCCTGAATGTCGAGAAATTTTCATTAAACAGAGCATTTGCTTAAATACTTGTATCTATAAAATAACAACGTTAAAACATAAATAAATAAAAAAAATGTCTTTAATAAATAAATTGTCGGACCTTGTCCATTTCTTAACATATATATATATATATAATAATAATAATTATATATATATATATATATATATATATAATTATTATTTATATAAAAAATTATAACATAAGTATGTTATGTTATAACATACTTATGTTATATCTTTTTATAAATAATAATCATATCAGCTTTACTTTGTATTGAGCACTCTTTTAAGAATAATAATTGTTGGTTATTGGAATTCATTCCGTATATACCAATTATATACTTGTATATATATATATATATATATGGTTTACTCTTTGTCTTTCTCTTCTTTGGAAGATAGACACAAGGAAGTTTTCCTTTTCCTATACTGACTGCCAACCAAAGCAAGAGAACTTTCTTTACTGCTGTTTAACCATTAGCAGGAGAAACCTAGAGCCATGCCTTTTCCATGAGACGGTCAGGGAAATATCCCATTCACTCCACGAATTAAATTCTTAAGGTCGTTATGGCGTTATATGTGATATGCATAGTGAGTTTAGGGCAGACGGAACCCATCCTTCTTCAGGCTGGTTTTGAATTCAATTATTCATTCTTCTAGACTGGCCGCCACCCAAGTAAAAAGAGCCCGCTCTACCTGCTATATAACCCATAGCTAGAAAAAAATGGATTCTTTTCTTTTCCAAGGGTATTATTGCGAAGTGAATGAAACACGCTAGCAGAGTTCGAAATAGGTACGCAGAGTCAAATTTTCGCGCTGTTACGCTGCCCGCGCATTTTGATTCTTTTCAGTGTGTGTGTGTGTGTGTGTGTGTGTGTGTGTGTTGTTTTTCAAGGAACCGAAGTATTATTTTTACTGCTTGAACCAGAGATTGAACTCACGCCTATCAAGCAATTCTGTCGGGTTGACCAATGCTTGTATCCGTTTTGATAATCAGATAGTAGAATCCTGGCTGAACTCAGACGAAGTTGATTAAAAATTCCACCTGATGTGAAGATAGGGTTAACAAGCTCTTCTCGTAGACCGTTTGGCGAGTGCAGTGAGTTTATCTGAATTTCTGGGATGGGGGTTATCATTATGAACACGAAGACTAGTGTCCTCATCTTTGTTACTATCACAACGTTTCGACCGTTGTGCCATCCAGCCTTCATCAGGTGCTTGTCGATCCGAGTAACCTTCAGGAAAATTCGGACCAAACCCTTTATTTAACCTACTGGTGGCCCTGTCTAGGGGAGATAACTCACCTAGTTCTTATTTAGTATTTCGCTGTAAGTCTGGAGGGTGCTACTATAGAATTGTTGTGGTAGGATCCACCTAATTTGCATAGTGGAGTACCGACCATATAAATATGGTTGGTACCGGGAAGAGAGGGAGGAATCAAGAGATTCAACCAGAGACTCTGGCCGACTGCGACTCAGTCAACACATTCTCCAAGAACGGTCTTACCAGGAATATACAAAAGACTATATGTAAATATTGTGTACACTTTCTTGTTTCAACATATTTTGTTCTAAGTAAATTTTGTGTTGCATTATTATTCCATGCATTAGTCAAGTTTCAACAAGAATACAACCGAGGCATTTGCGACATTCCGTAAATGACGATACACTCTACCAAACAACTTACTGACGACCTACAGCAATTAATTCCTCAAACTACGTACAGTATTATTTTAACCTAAAGAGTGGGGTATTTATCTAATTTGTATTAAAAATCGTAAAGGAGGTATTTATCTAATTCCATTACAAAATAAATAAGCTAACGTCAGATAAAATAATTCTACCTCATTTAGTTGATCATGCTAGCACCATGCTGGCCAGAGACTTTTAAAAAATAATGTCAAGTGAAAATGAAGCTGTGTCCTTTTTAAGAGAGAACAACCTTATTGAGCAATCTTATTAAGTAGAAAATGAATAGTAGATATCATACGATAGTAGAAAATGGCAGGTAGATATCATGCCATAGTAAAAAATGAATAGTAGATATCATATTATAGTAGAGAATGAATAGTAGATATCATACCATAGTAGAAAATGGACGGTAGATATACTATAGTAGCACCACTGGAGGAATATCGAAAAACTGGAATGGCTGATCATGTATGGAGCAAAAAAGGATAGTCATCCCCTCTTGTGGCTTGATGTGAAAATTCTAGATAAAGAATATTGGAGAGTCAGTCGTCTGAAAGAATCAGCGCACATGCGAGGCTATGAAGATCTCTTTAGTAGGCCTAGCATATAAATAAATACCATATAGGAGCCATTATGGAAGAGAGAAATGACAGCAAGGCTCCAACAACAGAAGACATTGTAGAAAAGAGAAGTTTCTTTGAGTGCGGTCAAGAGCAACAGGCGGGTTAGGTTTAAGGTTCCATTTCGGATTGTCCCACGGGAGAATGAATTAAAGCGTTAGTTGGCGAATTTGGTGATATTGGTGATATAGTTATTGTGAGTTCAATTCCTAAGCCGGGAATTATGTACTTGGACTCAGTGGAAATGGTCATCACAATAAGTGAGCGATACGAAATAAGAATCAGACGATATATCCCAAGGTATGGTCAGAGGAAAGAGAACAATCTATCCCTGTAGATTAAATGAACGGTTCTGTTCGAAATTTCTTGAAGGACCTGTTGAAGGCCGAAGGGCACAGCAGCCGAAATGTTAGAATGATAGCAATACAGATGATAACAACAGTCTGCGTGGATGAGCTATTTACGTGGCATTGTGTCTGACGTGGTTAAATTTAGTAAATAATTGGAAAGGCGTGTTTACAGTATATATCCGGTTATAGATGCGGAAGTTTAAATATCTTGGAAGTATTTTGACGGAGGACGGTAAATGCGACGCTGAAATCCGAAGACGTATTGGGCTGGCCAAGGACGCATTCCAAAAGCTGGACTGAGTATTGCAAGACAGGAGGATTTCTTTGGTAACAAAGAAAAGAGTACTGAGCTGCTATGTGATATCTGCCCTCCTTTACGGCAGCGAATGTTTGACGGTCTCCTCTAAACCTCGAGGCAACGGAGATATGGTTCTACAGAAGGATGCTAAGGATATCATGGACCGAGCGTGTGAGCAACAATGAGGTTTTGGAGATTATGCAAAAAAGGAAGAAGCATATGTTTAACATCAGGAAGAGACAGCTGAAATTTCTGGGACACGTAAAGAGAAAGGAGGGCTTAGAGAATCTGATATTCACAGGTCGAATAGAGAGAAAGAGAGAGTCAAGGGAAAGCAACGCATGACATACCTGACGGGTTTAAGCAAGTGGATGACAGAACGTGGTCTGGGGAAAGTGGCAGAAGGACGAAATTTATTGAGAGTTACAAGGGATAGGGGGAAGTGGAGAGCCATGATCGTCTACGTCCTGAAGGGACACGGTATATAAAAAGAAAGAATAGTTCGAGATTTTATTAGTGCGAGATATTTTTGTTTTATTTATGCACAAAATAGGGGGTCGATCTATATGTAGGTATTTTTTTTTAAAGAATTCAAATATCATGCATTTTCGGTGATCGGTTGCACTAAACACAGGTAATTTTATTTCTGGAAGGGTTAATATTCATGTAAAAAAAAAAAAAAAAAAAAATCGGGGGTCGCACCATACATAATTCACCTTATATACGATATATGCCTGAACGTTTTCTTGCATATACGTATCTTATACACGATCACATGTATAAACAGACTTGCATTAACGCGTATAAATATCTGTATAATCGATTACACGGGAATATATTGCGTCATACTGCATAGAGATCACACACGCCTAAACATATATATATATATATATATATATAGATAGATAGAGAGAGAGAGAGAGAGAGAGAGAGAGAGAGAGAGAGACTTTGGGAAGTATGTCTATGCTAAAGAGGAAGAAAAAAAGCGGGAACAAAGAGATGAATGAGCAGCAGATTTTTAAGCTCATTTTCCTAACCTTTCTATTCCAGCGAAGTCACTGGGGTTAGGAATAAGAGATCGAAGTTAATACATACTCATTTTTCGCTCTACTGGCAGACCGAACTCCACCGACAACCATCTTTCTCTTCTCCCACCGTTCATTCTTCTTTCTTCTTTATCACTTTTTTTTTTTTTTTTTTTTTTTTTTTTGTCAGACTACTCGTCGATCGATCTGTAAAAGTCCATATCTCGTTTCACTAGAATTCAAGACAGCGGACCTATTACTGATGTAGTCTC